AATATATATCGGGGATGGGTCGTGTGGGCGGTACGCCGCTGCCGAAGCAATCTCGGGGCCCAAACGCGGACGATGCCGGGGCAGTGTACCGGATGCCCTCCAGTTGGGGCGCCGCTGCGGGTATCTCTAATGGCGGCGGGCATATCAGTAATCGTGCCTGCCTCAGTCGCACAAAAGGCGACATAATTGAAGGCGCTACGCGGAAGCCTCGGGGGGCGTTTACAGGAGGCTGGCGGCACGGTGGTGGCACGGTGGTCGTTTAGAGTGTGCTAGTATAGGGGATCTCCGTTTCTCGGGGTTAGTGGTGGGTGGTGTGAGTTGCCGTGTTGGGAGCCTAGCCCGATGAGCCCATTATAATGCCGAGTGCGTCATGGGGTGCAGAGGCTGCTCGCGGAAGGGTGGGGGTGGGCTTAGTTGCGGAAATGAATTTTTTCGTTGGCTATAATGACAACTCCGGGGCTGGGCAGCCCGAGAACCAACGCCCCTCTTTTTCGTATGTGGCCAGGGCTCACCACCCGGGGTCCCCCGTCGACACTAAAACGGTTGTGTCTAGTGTCTGCTCGACAATGAGGAAATGTTTACTAAACTAGATACAAAGTTTCAAATTGGCATACGATGGTGCGGCGCTGTCTACGCCAAGTGGCTTAGAGGCATGGTGTAGCTAGGGTTGTAGACGTTGCCAAACGAGTAGCACACCGCGCCGCCGCCGACGATCGCCATCGCGCCATTGGTGGTAACTAGATGGTGGCCGATAAGTACCAGCCCCGGGATCGACGTCGCCGTCACCGATAGCGATGTAACGTCCACGTAAAGCACGTCGGCGGTAAGGGCTAGCGGGTTGATGCCGCCGGCAATTACTAATGTGGCACCGTGGCAGGCGACCAGGGCGCCGATGCGGGCGTAGTGAGGGTCGCGACTGATAACGGTGGCGGCCCCCAGGACGATGTCGACGCGGTAGATAGCGTCGGAGGTGGTGGGTGCGAGACGGTCGCTCATGCCGCCGACGATGTAGGCGTATTGCCCGCTGCTATCAACGGCGATACCGGCGCTGGCGAGACAAATATCGCCGTTGATGATATTAGCGGTGTGCGTATTGATGTCGTAAACCTGAATGCCGTGGGTGCTGACCACAAGAACCTCAGAGGCGCTGATGGCAGCGGCGGCATGGCGACTTAACGAAAACGGAAGCGCCGGCAACTGGCGCCAGGCGCCATTGTCAAACAACCACACGTCGTCGTAATCGAGCCCGGGGCGACCTCGACCGCCGATGAGCAAAGCCCTGTCCAGCCCCGGAAGAGCCACCACCGTGTGGTTCATCCGCGCCAGCGGCTGAGGATCAGACGGGGCCACAAGTTTACCATCAATTAACGTGGCATCGCTGCGGGTTTGGCCGAGACCACCGTGCACTAACACCCCCAGGGACAAAGCGCAAGCGGCGGGGAACTTAAGCTCGAGCGGGTCCAGTTTTTCCCAGTGACAGTGTTCGAGCGCAAGCGGCGCCGGCGCCGGCGGCCGTTCACCCAAGTAAAGGTGGCCATCGTTACACGCGTGAGTAACAAGGTAGTGGTGGCAAAAGAGGATAAACTCCTCCCACTCGTCAAACGGCTCCACCTCGGCCACTTTAGCTTTGGTTTCGTCGTCAATATAGTCTCGCCACACCTCATAAAGATCTTTCAGTTCCACCAGCGAGAACCATCGGCTAAACCGTTGTTGTTGAAGATCTCGAGTATGGTAGCGTTCAATCAGCTGGAGCGGGTGGCGGAGATGGTCAAAGTGGTGCATCATCTTTTTGGCAAATACGGTATCGGGACCTAAGGGCATCATCTGTTCGAGAATGACGAAATGAGGGTTAGGGTGGGTCGCCAGAAGAGCAATGACGGCGTCAGCGTCGTCGGGCTTCATATACGCTAACAGCACTTCAGCAATAAAAATGGCGACGTCGGCGTCGATCTGTTTCACTACTTTTTCGTAGCTATCGGCGTGGTTCATATCGCACCCGACCAAATGGTACTTGCGGTCCTTAATCACCTGCTGGACGGGCTCTGCCGCGTCGATCATCGCTTGCTTATTGGCAATAAGATCGGGGTAGTCGATATCGTAGCACTCAACGTCAATGCCTAAGCTGAAGAGCTGAAATGGCAACGGGTCGAAGCCACACCCTAAGTTGACCACTGCCACCCGTTTCCCCGGGTACAGCCGGAGCACGTTAACCACAGTACGTTTAATCGCTTCCATCCGGATCCAGTAACCCCTGTTGATAGCGGGAGACCGGCGCTTAGCCTTGGGGACGAAATACTTGAACCATTCTCCCAATTGGGGTTCGACATGGGGGGTGTATAATTGCTCCACCAGCCGTTTGGATACGATCAGCGAGTTGTTGGTACCCTGTACTTGTAGGTCATGGTAATTCTTGCGGCGCAACTGCTTCTGTCGCTGCTGTTCCTTCTGCGCTAGCCGCTGGGCTTCTCTAGCCTCATCAGTGATGGTCATCGCACCGCGACTGGTGAAAGCGATATCTACAGTGATGGCCTAAAAAACTACAATAACTCGATAAAGAAAACTACCAATCTCTAGTGTTACTTGAATCCATGATTTTGGTGTCCTATTAGTCTTATCGATTTTTACTCTTTCATTTGCAGCAAGTCATAACCTTTCATTCTATTAGTGGCGTAATCCTATAAAGCTTCGTCGTGGTCATTCGTGGTCGACGTCCTCGTCGACTTGGTATTGGGCCCATACCCGGTCCAACACCTCGGCAGCGTCCTCGGCCGGGTGGTGTTGCATTTCCACCACGTAGTTGGCGGCAGCGATGGTGCCTCGTAAGTTGGGGTTGGCGGCATCACCAGCACGGATCCACGCCTTGCCGTTGGTGCCGACAGCAACTTCAAACTTGCATTTAGTGGCAAGGTGTTCAAGCACCGGCAGTTTATGGTTAAATAAGAGCTCACGAGCGTAGGCCAAGTTGCCGATGTCCACCACCATCCCTTGGTCGTCCAAGGGACCAAACCCGCCGTCCTTACCGGCGGCATCGACACATTCAATTTCAATATCGATTTCAGGGATGGCTTGCGATATCCGAGCGTACACTGCTTGCCCTTGTTTTAGTTGAGGGCGGTTCTTCTTGGTAGCGTTAGCGAAGGAGTAAAAGCTTAAGAGCACCGGCTGGCAGAAGTCCTGAAGCTGGACTTTGTATGATTCACCAATGGTGCCGACAACGATGCCCACGACCATGTCGTGGAGATGAGGCACGTAGTGTTTGCCCGCGGACTCAACGTAGGCGACAAGCCCTTGTTTCCGTTTCTGGGTGTGGTAGTAGCCTGCCACGGTGGGGATGGCCCGGTCGTGGTCCTCATACACCCCGGGACCCATCACCAGGGGGTGGTCTTCGATAACATCGCCGGGGACAATCATGAGGCGATGGGTGCGAAAAGTGGCAGCCGCGGTGGTATAGTGCGAAGAAATTACGACAATTACGCTTACAATTTATGAATTACATAAACCAAATTTCTTTATCATTTATTAGTCGTTTTCTATAATGCTCGTTACTTCTAAGAGAAGTGTTCAATTTGGCGCAACTTGGCCGCTTGCTTGGCACTGGTGCCGGAGTCGGGACCTTGAAGGGCGATCAACGGGTGTCTCCATTGCTTGACCAAGCTGAACAACACGTCGGGAAGCTCGGTGGGCTTGATGCCCAAGTCGGCAAACGTCTTGGCGGTGGGGTCGACCTTTTGGTCGATCAAGTGACGTTGGATCTGGTCGGGGTTGGTGGTCTTCCAGTACAAGAATTGCTTAGCCCACGCCACCAACTTGAGCAATTGAAGAGGGGCGTAGTAGTCGGCGTTGGTGTAAGGCAACAGCAAGATGTAACCGTCGTGGTGAGTGATGTTGTGGATCATTTCCCGAATTTCGGCATACGAGTACTCAGTACCGTACAATTCGTAGGTCTGGCCGGCGGTGGAGTCGTCGTAGACCATCTTTTGAAGCGCTTCGGCAACGTCCAAGGCGTATACGGGTCTCACCTTCTTGGCGTTGCGGTTGGGCAGCCACATCTTCGTCTTGGGGCCCAAGTAGTTGAGCAAGTTGTCTTCTCTGCCGAAGACGGGGGAGGGACGGACGATGGTGATGTCGGAGCCGTAGGCTTCTCTCACCGCTTGTTCACCGATACCCTTGGTGGCGTAAAACACCGAATCCAGGTTGGGGTCGGCGTTGTACGACGAGAGGTGGATGAACCGGGGGACGCCGGCTTCCTTGGTGAGGCGGGCGATTCTTTCGGCGATGCCAATGTTGACGTCGGCCATGGAGAAGTTCTTGGTGTTGTAGTCAGCACCAATGCAGTTGATGACGACGTCGGAGTGGGCGACGGAGTCCTGGATCGACTTGATGTTGCGCGAGTCAAATTCGACAAAGTTGACGACGCCAAGGTCCCCCAGCACCTTGAGGAAACGCTTCTTCATGTCGTCACGGTAAGGGACGACGGTGGTGGTACCGTGCTTGGCCAATTTGGCGGCGGTGTAACGACCAATACACCCAGCCGCCCCGAACACGGTGACGGTGTACCCGGTCCGCGACGAGCGCAACCCCGAACCCACGGCCTGGAGGACCTTGCCGTTCTTGGTGATGTTCAAGTCGGTTGCCAACGGCAGCAACGACGTGTAATTGCGGCACAGCGTCTTGGTAATCGAACGCAACATGGGTACTTCGATGTTCCTGGGCATGGTTTTTTTTTACCGCCATTTGGTTGGCCAGAGTGCGCCTGGCTCTGTGCAGGTCGCGAACCCCACCACGCGACCTAGCCGTAGCCAAATTGGATAATGATAGTGATTTGTAGTTAGTGGTTGTTAAAATTGTTTTCTCGACGTTACTTAATTGACGATAGGCCAACATAATTTGTTTTTCTGTTTGTCAAAGATCTTACATGTTACTGCCTATGAAAAACTAAGCGAGCCTTTTAATGAAAAATTAAGATCAGAAGGTAACATTATGAACCTTGTCGATTGAAAGTGAAGTAATTCAATTTATAATTAACAACTGACATCGGTGACAATAATTGTATTTGATAATAGAGATTGTGGAATAATATCAATCGCCCAACAATCAGACAAATCCAATAATTGATTTTGTGGTGACTATCGGAGATCTGATTATTCTTTACGAAATGCCATTTGCTCGGTTTGTAGTATTGCTACATAAGTCGTTGCCTGTGTCGTACGGGTGTCATAAGTTGGTTTACAAAAAGTAGTCCGGGGTTTTCCTAGTGACGGTGGGCTCGCCCGGGCGCACACTGGGGTCGTACTGCAAGAACTGTCTGTTGTGCTGTTCGTCGACCTCCATGATGGCGGCCTGGTTACCGCAACGGTAGCAGTAGTTGGGGGCGGAGAAGATCGTCACCACCGCCTCTTGATGCGACCACGAAAACCCTTCCATCACCAACTGGTGGGCGCGGGCAATGAGCGACAAGTCGTTGGTGTGGTTGAATTGCTCGGAGATATCTTGGCCAAACGTGAAACCGGCACCTCTGGGCGATATCCCCCACCCGCCACGGTCGTCAGGATCCGACCACAACAAATCGCACATCGGCCCTTCGTGGGGCACTTCTTGGATACGATTAAGCTCGCGCACCTGGTCGATGGTCTCCACCATTGGCAGCAACCCACCATGCAAACAGAAGATCTTATTGTCCACCAACGCCGTGATCGGGAAGTAGTCAAAGAGGTCGGTGAACAACTTCCACACCGTCGCCGACCCGTACTTTCGCAAGCACTCGTCGTAGAAACCGTACACCTGAGTGATTTGTCGCGACTCGTGGTTGCCTCTGAGGATGGTGATCCGCCCCGGGTACCGCACCTTCATGCACACAAGGTACGACACCGTCTCCACCGAGTAGTAACCCCGGTCGACGTAGTCACCCATGAACAAGTAGTTGGTGTCGGGACAAGGGCCACCAATTTTGAAAAGCTCGATGAGGTCGTGGAACTGGCCGTGAACGTCACCACAAATCGTCACCGGCACCAGCACTGGCTGGACGTTTTCTTCGAATTGCAACACGTCAACGGCCATGTCACACAACTGCTTCACCTCGTTTTCGCTAAGGGGCTCGCACTTGCCCAACCGCTCGATCCATTGGTCCAACTGGCCCACCGTCTGCGGCGTGAGTTCTGCGGTCTGGGGATTGGTGGAGTCGACGGGCTTTTTCAGAATGGGCTTCTTGTCGTCAACGTCCTCCATAACAACGTCGGCGTCCATGTCCATCTACTTGGGTTAGTACAGTTGTTGTCGCGGTCACCAGGTGGCGCCCCTCACTGGTGTGGGCACTGGGAGACCACGCGTGATCTCGACCACCCAGCGGGTTTAATGAGTTTTTGATGCCATCAGGTCATCAGTCACGGCCAATCAAAGTCGTTTACCCAGCACAACTAGCGGTGCCACCGATAATTAAGCGCCACTTACCTTCTCGTGTATCCTTCGCTGGTCTGAGACTAAAATTGTCGACAGTTGTTTGCTCGCCGCGAAAAAACCCCGTAGCCGAGCCAGCAGACTTGAGACAGTGCGGGGGGCAATAGGCCCCGAGCGGGGGATAGACGAGGGTTATGGAGTATAGAGGGTGGTTGTACGTGTAGTTTGAGAGCTTGGGGTATAGGTACACAAATTTTTATTGTCGTCCCATTTATAGGTGGTGAAAGTAGCAGCCGTTTGTTGTGGTTCAGCCTCGTGTGGTGGTGCGAATCAGGGGCTTGAGACCCTAAAAGCTAACGAAGAAACAATGCTAGCCTCTATTCGACGACGCTGTAGCCTGTACAAATGAATTGAGCTATTGAAGCTTTTTTTTATTCGTACCAATCATAAATAACACCATTACCATATATAGAGCTTTCACATCGATTAGGTTAACGTACAACAACCATACGCCTCGGAAAAGAAGCAAACAAAAATACATCATTATTACTGTGTGTCAGCTCGTCTAAAGTATATGTATAAGTATGGTCTATAAGTTAAAGTCGGCTTTAGTCTCGGGCTGTCCGAGACCAAACAACGTTTCCAAGTTAGCTGAGTCCTCCGAGATCTGGTTGAACAACGAGAGGAGATTATGCGACAGCTCGCTCATCGGCAAGTCCCACTCCAGTGCCAGTACCAGTGACGTCACTGGCGGCGGAGGAGGGTGAGGGTACGCGGCCAGGGGCACTACCGCCACCGGGGCGGCGTCAAGCGATGCCATCGCCGGCGCCGCTGGCGGCACTGGCGGCATTGCTGCCATGGGGTCAGGCCCGCCGCCTCTCTCTTCTCTGAGAGCGTGGAGCCCCGTGAACCACTGGTTGAGACTGGGGTTGGCCCTGATCAACTTGTTAATATTATTGAAGTGGCTGAAATGAGGAATCAAGCAGTCGGAAAGCGTCAACAACATGTCGTGGTTGATGGGGGCCTGGGTGATGTCGAGGCGCACCCGGATCATGTGGAGAATGTGGGGGAGAAGCTGGAAGTTCAGCATCTTCACCTTGAACGAGTCCATTTCCGCCACCCCTTTGAGAATTGCCGCCACCAGTGTCAATTGTTCATCAAGTTCCTGGACAACATTCCAGTGGCCCACTCCGCAAAGTACTTTGAATAAGAAAATTTGCTTGATCACTTCAAATGCGTTGTCCTGAGCTAATTGCAGCACTGCCTCTTTGATCGGAAGGTACGGAGTTTGCGCTTCCACTACTGCCGGTGCCGTTTGGAAGGTAATTCGACTCAATTTTTCGATAAGTCCCGGCACCAGTTCCGTAACCTCAATAAGGGCATATACCACGTTTTTGTCAAAAGCGTTAGCGATGAATTTTTTCGTTCTGAATTTCTCTCGTTCAAGCTGGAGGATGACGTCGTTATTTCGCCGCACGCCAAGGGCATAGGTGGTCAGCGAGTATAAGAGCATGTACCGTTCCCAAGTGTAGAGCATTTCGAACATTTCGTGGAGCTGGATGGCAGCAGCGGCGTGTTCGGACGCTGTCTTCAAGTTTAAAAGCTGGAAGTAGCTTATCAGCTTACGCAAGAACAAGAGCTTTTGCTGTTCTTGCTGCTCGTTACCGTAGTGGCCGACGTTAGGGGTATCGCCGCCGTTCATGATGTTGGTCAAATTCAAAATGTGGTAGTAGGTGCACATATGGTAGTGGCCCAACAGCAAATTATAGTAGACGCCAAAAGTGTTAGGGGCCGACGATACCGGAATATGCTGCGCCGGGATAACCGCGGGGATGATGAAGTTCTTCTCGATCAACGATAGCACCTCGATGCACTTGAAATGGGTGAGGTTTTTGAAGTTTTTGAAGTTGCGTTCCTGAATCAGCCGCTTGGGGTATTTGTGGAACTCGCGGTACTTTTGCTTTTTGAGCTTGATCAACACTTCGGCAATGAGTAAATTAAGGGTGAGGATGACAAAAAGGGTCGACAAGAACTCGTTATCGTTGTGGCGCTCCACCACCACAATCTCTTTGTCCATACACCCTTCGAAGTGGTTAGTGAGAAACGTCAATAACTCGGTGAAATTGACCACCAACAGCTGCGCCGTGAACGGTTTCACCAACTCAAACACGATGGGCTCGTCGCTGATGAGCCCGACGTTCTCCATCAAGTTTTGCGGCGTCAACAAGTACTGTTGCGCTTTCGCCTCGTCGGCCTCGGCCACCACCGTCTTCTCCGGCGACAGCGTTGTCGACGCGCTTGGCACCAACGTGTGGATCGACTTGAGCGTTTTCTTGTGCAAGTTCTTTGGCCCCAGCTTCTTCCGCTGGCGGAGCAGCGTACACTGGAGGCCGTTGGCGACACAATGAGAGCACGGGCGCTGGGACTCACATTTGACTTTGCGGATCGAGCACGCATCGCACGCCCGGACCAGCACCTTCCGCCGCTGCCGCAGCAGTTCTCCCAGCAGGTCATGGGGCGATAGCGGCGCCGCGTAGGTGTCGCCGCCAGAGCCGGTCATTGTAGCGTGGTGGGGTTGAGAGAGTATTTGGTAGTCGGTGTGGTGGGGCGTTTGTCAGGGACGTGCGCGCAGTGAGCGCATGGGCGCGAAGAGGGGAAGCGCCCATTCTCGGGGGTCAGGGTCCCCTGGCGAGGGGGCGTTGGGCACCGAGGGGCCGCCGCGGGGACCATAGGTTGGTAAGTGGCCAAAGTGGTGGTTCCGGACACCAAATGACTCCGAAGTGTGGGGCGGCGGCAATTTTAACCGGTGGCAGGCGACAATCGCCAGGGGGGCGTCCTTTTGGCGATCTGCGGCATTTAATGTAACGTCGTATTATTGGATGCGCCTATCGTCTACAGGGGGGGTTGAGTAATTAAACACTGATAATTTAGCCCATCGCCTGCTTGAACCGGTGCTGGAGATCGGCAAACTGGCAATAGAAGCGGTACTTGTTGCTGAGAACATTATTGGGCCGCGGGGTAAACTCCTGGTAGCGGCGCCCCGGCTCCACCAGCTGGACAAGCGCCTCGTGGTACGTCGACTTGCTCACGCGGACGCCTATAAGCCGGCGCGCCATCTTCGCCATCATCGTGGCGCCGATAGCGCCGCCAAACTCGCCCATCAGTGTCTGCGTCCGCAACACTTTGAGTCCAGTAACGTTGGCGATAAGCTGTAGAAGCCGGTCGTTCTGCGCCTGCGACCCCACCACCACGATACCGTCGACGCTGGTCTGGGCGCCTTGGCAGTAGCACTCGATCAACTGGCGGGTTTGGAACGCCAAGTGCTCCATCGTCAAATTATAGCGCACCACCATCAGCTCCACCAGGAAGTCGAGGACACTGGCGAGGTCGGGGCGTGAGTTGTGGCCATCAATCACCAACTCCGACATCGTGCTTAGATTATAGGGAGAACGGTTACCGACCAAGTCCCCGTAGTACATGTAAGGCTTGATGATCTCGGAAATGTGGTGGTTGTACAATTGCTCCAACTCCTCGGTTTTGTGCTCTAAGAAGCGGAACGGGTCCTCATACAGCACTTCCCCAGCCAAATTGCACAAGTCAACAATTATCCTCTCAAATAATTTGCCCGTCACCAGCTGGCCAAACTCAAATAAGTTGACGTGGTCGTGTCCCACTACCTTATATGGTCCCCATATCCCTGGGATGGGGAGCGCTCGTCGTCGGTGATCGGCGACGAAGAAACACGTCAGCGTGCCGGCGATCATCTGCACCAGGTTGGCGTCGGGCCGGTATATCAGAAGCCAGGCGGCGTAGGCGTCAATTCCCCCCAGTGCTACTATCATCGACTTGGCGTCGGTGAGCAGGAGAATGGTAGGATGGACGTCGCCCACGGGGACGCCGAGAGGGAGCATAGTGCCGTCGCTGTTGCTACAGCCGGCAGTGATGTGGGAGCCAATACCGAACCGGGCCCACGGCTCAGCGCCCCACCCTTTGACGGAGCCGTCAATGGCGGCGCTGTCGGCGCTGTAGTGAGTAGTCACTGGGTGGTAGTCAAAGTAGACATGGCCGTCGCTATCGCGATGGTAGCCTCCGTGAAGCAATAAGTACTGGATCCAGTCATAATACTCAAATACCACCAAGTGGCGGTCGCGGTAGTGGTCGCTGAGCCACTTGAGCTTCGCCACCCCCATCTCGGGCGTGATGCGCCCGCCGAGCTGCTGGAGCCATACAGTACCTTTTAACGCTTCCGTAAGCTTATCCGCCTGTCGTAGCGCCCGCTGGTCTTTCCACATCCACACGTCGTGGTCGTCCGCCAGCGTATAGTGCTTGGGGTCAGCAAGACAGTTGAACGGGCGTAAAACCCGGTGGCCGCCGTAGGTAGTCAATTCGAGCACCACCAACAGACAGGTGGCGGTGATGGCGATGGCATTGGTGGGGCGGAAGTCGAGTTGCGGAAGCCACTTTGCGATCAAGTCCCACACCGCTACCGAGCTCTGGGTGAAGTGTTCGCCGCTGGTGTCGATGTGCAACGGCTCGGCGATCACCTGGTTGATGCGGAGCCTCAGGGTGCCAATGTCAACGCCAATCAGCATGGTTCGGGTTCGCCCTGGAGCAATCTTCTTATCGGAAGAGTGTGGCCGGTAACCCTATGGTATGCATACAGGACCACGTACAATGCCTCGGGGCCTAGCACGATGATCGGGAGCAACACCGCCATGGCCACGGTGACGTAGGTGACGGCCCAGAGCCAGAACGCCACCATGAAGACGACGATGAAGAGCATGTGGTGGCCGGAAACTTTTTCTGTAGTTGGCAGGCGCCTTGTGGAGGGTGTCGCCGGCGCATGTGATGATCGGCGCCCGCCGCTCGCGGGGTAGTCGATGAGCCGCACCGGCACCCGAAGCGCCGGCACAGGGTCTAGCGGGTGGGTCGATCTTAAGGGGACTTAGTAATTATAGTATTGGTCAGTGGTAGTCACCAGTTATCACCTAATTTGCGGTGTCGGCGAGCGACATTATATTGGGAGCGATGGTAAGCGAGCAACGGTTACCAGCGATTGTCAAAAATCGGCGCCGGAGAAAATCCGGACCCTTGCCGGCGTGATTACGAGATATCGGACTTATAGTCAATTTAGCCATCAATTTCAGGATTAAACCAATAGTTTATAAAATTTAGAATTGATCAGGAGCTGTCAAGAGGGGTTTGCCGATTTTGTGGAGGACGCAGTGATTGGTGCTAATCGGCGAAAAATTATGAAATTTTAAAAATAAATCAAACGGCGATACTTAACAAGCGTCTGTTTAGCTAACGCCATCTCTCCCCTTACACACTCTATAATATATTGGACATGGTGGTGAAGTTAGTAGCTACTCTGTAATGGTATTTTCTGTTGATATCTATACACCATACACTGTGACATGAAAGGCGCAATCAAGGTACCAGATTCATTCCAATCACGACATCAATAAATGTTCATTAATTTTGTTGATGATCAAAGAGTTCAGCTTGCAGGCACACGACTTACATCATTTGACTTTAGGCTCATATGATAGTATTTCCTACTTTAACAAAATTATTTTGGGTATACACCCCCTGTCTAACTCCACAAAAACGCTCGCTACAACCTACGTCGTACCTATCAAACACTAAAAATAATTATTGTCGTTTACTCACCCGCTTACCTCCGCCCCACAAAGCAATTGGGATCGAAATACGCTGCTTCCATCACTTTTCGTCTCGTGATAAATTCGGCGGGTAAATCTCTAGAGTCGGCGCCGGGCGTGCCAAGCGGACCCATTGTTTTGCGGTTTCGGAAGAGGCGGTGGTCGCCGGTACCTGAAATTTCCAAGCAAACGCCATCGGACACATCACAACAAACAAACACAATAGTGAAATTTCTATATTTCTCTATAGGGGGTGACGTAAATGCAAAACAGCACACTAGTTTAAGGGGACAGGAGCGGCAACATTCCCTGCCACCCCCTATACATGTTTACTGTCTGCTAAATATACACCCCCCTGAGGCTGTGACGCTCACAGCCCCGGTGCGGGTGGGTGGTGTCACCGCGCTGAGTCGCGTCAACGGGGAAATGCACCCCGCTGCCCCTAGGCGCCCGCAACGCGTAAAATTGTAATCAGCAACACCGCACCTAGCAACCTAAATCACTGTCTACGTAATTGGCTACAACGGCAAGACTGGGTGGTTAGACTAGAAAATGAAACAATTTTGATTTGGTAGATACAAACGAATAGTCTAGACCTAGTATCCGATGGCGGCTTGGGAACCAGCCTGGGCCAACCACTGGTTGACGGTGTCCGCCGACAAGTTGTCGCCGAAGGTGGTCGAGTCGTCCAATTGTTGGATGTGGATCTGGTCGTCGTGGAAGATGACGGCCGCCTTCATCGTGCCGTCGGTGGGACGGTTGAAGTAGTCTTGCGAACCACCACCGCCGTAGTTGGTGCCGGCGGGGGCGCCTTGCGAGGTGTGCAAGTGAGCGATCATCTTGTCAGAACCACCCAACAACACTTCAAACAAGTCCAATTCACCACACCCGGTCGACCAGCACGAGCACTCCTTCTTACCGTATTGCAAGGTACGGGGGATCTGGGCGTTCAACATCCACACCGCGGGCATGTCGCCGTTGAACGAGTTCTTGTCGCCTTCGTGGGGCATCAGGAATTCAAACACAAAGATCTTTTCGGTACCGGCCCACCCCTTGTAGGCGACGGTGCCGTCACGGCAGTAGCCACACAGCTCGTCACACTTTTCACCCGACATGATCATGTACTCCTTGTTGGAGCCAATGGTGACGTCGTCCAACACCACCGGCGACAGCAGCCCGCCGGAGGCGTCGTGGTTGCAGTACGACAACGAGTTGCCGAACACCGAGTCCCACACACCCGAGCCTTGGCCACCAAAGTGGTTCAAGAAGGTGACGTTGTTGCCGGTACCCGGTTGGTAGTACGACACTCTGGTCCAGTCGCCGGCTTGAGCGGCCGAGGGTTGGGGACCCGCCAGAGTAGTGGTGGGGGCCGACTTGGTCAGGATATCGGGACGGTACGCCTTTTGCACCCCGGCCAAGTTTTCGTCCCCGTTGAAGGTTTCAGTGGCGGCAACGGGGGTTTGTTGGCCGTCGACGATGATGGTACGGGTGATAACGACCTCAGTGGTGGCACGCTTGTGCTTGTGGTGGACGTGGCGCGTCTGGCAGTCCTCTTCGCGCTTTTGTTGTTGCGCGCCCAGCGACGGGTAGTAGACGCCAAACTGCTTGACGTTGATGGGCCCGCGGAAGTGGACGGACAATTCCTCGTCGACGGGGGCCAACGTCCCCAGGAACGAGTACGGTTGCAGCGAGCATTGGCCCAGCTGCGAGTTCATCAGCGTCACCTTGTTGTAGGAGCCCGAGAAGCCGACATTGGTGAACACCACCTTCTTAGTGGGCAGACAGTAGTAGACGTTGTTTTCCACCGAACACTCGGCGGCGGCGAGAGCCACCGTGGCCAACAACGGAATCGAGAACTTCATAAGCGTGTTATTGACGACAACAAAGGAATGACAAAAGTTGGATAGCGAGGGGGGTTGTGGTCGTTTTTTTTGATGCGGTCGCCAATGTATTTAAACAACACGCGCGTATGTGCCGGAACCCACCGACGAGGAAAAATTATTGTGCATGATGTTTGGTGGCTGCGTGCCTAATTGGGACAGCATGTACATAGGGCAGGGCGCGCTTTACCCGTGGTGCCGAACAGCAGCGCCGCCCGCTACCAGCCACCCACCCCACCGGGGGTCACGACCATGGCCACAACGGTTTCCACCCGAAAATCCACTAATTATCCGGCCACATATCTCGCTAGTCATATTTAAGCTTTTACCGCAGTGCTCCCCACCCCATGTCACCGAGGCCGCCGCCGACATATTTCGCTACAGCCCAGCATTCTCCGGCAAAACCGCACCCTCGCAGACGATCAGGGTGAACATACCGCTCGTGGTGGGCGTTGGTAACGTCATCAGGCGATTTCAATGTGTGTAGAGGAATTTTAACCGCCCCACACCCTGCCCCCGGCCAGATTTGGTGGGACACTGCTGCCTCTCGCCGCCGTGTTGTTGCCGCTTGTTGCTGGGAGCCCCTGGCGATGCCCACCGCGTCGCCGCGCTCGGTTGTCATCTGGTGCTACCCACTTAATTGGGTACGTGATACATGGGGGGTGGTAAGGCGCAGCCAGGGGGCAAAGACAAAGGGTATTTGATTGTCGAGGTGGCCCTGACTACTGGAAATTTGTCGGGAGATTGTGGCTTAACCTAGAATAATTTTTTAACACCCGGAAAATCTCTTCCCACCAGTGGACGGGGGGGCTTGGCCGAGATATAAACACGGGTCACACCACTAAGATGGGGTTGATAAGACACCAGAAAACTCAGAGTTCTCTGAAAGTATATTACTCTGACGTTTGACATATATCTAGTAATTATTGGCTAACTCTAGCGTGGTCTGGAATCGATTAGAGGTTATCGCCGTGCGTGGTCGCGATGACCTCTACAACTTGGTGGTGGTTGAACGCACCCAAGAAAATGCTGGGGAAGTCTAGCCTATAATGATATGGGTTGGCTAGACTGACAGTTTTACGTAGGCAATACTTGACACAACGAAAAGTGTTGTCGACGGTATTATTCTCGTAATTGACAACTATCACAAAACCCCCCAAGTCCACTAAATTGTAGGAGGTCAAGCTGGCTACCATCCCCAACCATGATCTTGCATTGCCAAGTCTAGAATCATCGATGTGGAAAAGTACGTCACGACAATCTGTCAGTGCATCGGTGGCGAGACCCCTGGCCGACATCGGAGGCCATGCCCGACACTTACGATACCGTACCCACGTTAAAGGCTACTTCCCGGCGCATTCTCCCCATCTCGCTGCCCTCCTTGCTCATGCAGCACATTGTGGGTGTTTCCTGACGACGCTTTAACTCCAAAATGCTTGCAGTTTTTAGAGAAGTTTGAGACACACATCAGGAGAAGTAGCAGACTATACCCACCAAAATATGACTTCCCTCATCGAATCAATGTCCATAACACTGCTGCTGCTGTTGGCCACGGCGTTTTTCCCCCGATAATTGATTTATATGCCAGCTGCATGATTTTCTTAAATCAGCATTTCAACGGTCATCGATGTCAGCTTACGTGATGATTGAAATGAGAAAAAACGATGAGAAATGTTAAAAAACTATGGTTAAACATACAAAGGATCACCACAGCTGATGGTTATGCCTGACTACAAAATTTTCGCATCCATTTCGGTGGCGTTGTCCCTTGTTTGATCACTGATTCTCATCACCACAAATCTAAGGGTGCGGCATATCTGCACGGCTGGATCGTGTGGAATACCGATAAATTTCACAACTGGTTAAGAAACCTGAGGTGCACGTCCCCCAGACATATGTGTGACCGCCGTTGATATTTTATCGCCATGCCTGATGCCCCAGTCGATGGTTCTGGACCATTTAATTCAGTAAACATCGAATTTTCGCTAATACTAAGATAATCACCACCATAGGTTCTAGAGTATTTACAGTAGCACGATTATCGTAAACCACAATGATTAAACCTTTCAATTTATTGGGTTTTAATTTGATTGTTTGGTCCTGTTTGTGACGTCAGCGGCGAGGGCCGCCGCCGCACGCCTATGGCAATTTCGCGATGGGCATCGCCTACGATAATCATGGGTGATCGGAAGACGAAGAAAGCGAGGCTTGACGAGACCCTGGTGGCGGAAAAGGTGGCTGAGGAGCTGGAGACTCACACCCACAACCGCACCCCCGAGGAACTTGTCCACCACGATGCCGGCGAGTTCAAGGGGATGAAGCGCCACCACACCACCGCGGAACAGGCCCAGAAGTTGGAAACGGGCAAAATCAACCCGTTCACGGGGAGAAACTACACTGATAAGTACTTTGGCATTTATGAAGTGAGAAAGAACTTACCCGTGCACGCCCAGCGGCAGGAGTTCTTGGATATCTTCCACTCTACTCAGATCATGGTGTTTGTTGGTGAGACCGGTTCCGGTAAAACCACCCAGATTCCTCAATTTGTACTTTACGACGAGATGCCTCATTTGGAGGGGAAGCAAGTGGCGTGTACCCAGCCACGGAGAGTGGCGGCGATGTCGGTGGCGGCGAGAGTAGCCGACGAAATGGACGTCGAGTTAGGGGACGAAGTGGGGTACTCGGTGCGGTTTGAACACAAGCTGGGGCCCAAGACGGTGCTCAAATATATGACCGATGGTATGTTGTTGCGGGAAGCGATGGACGACCACGAATTGCTGCGCTACTCGTGTATAATTCTTGATGAAGCCCACGAGCGGACATTGGCCACCGATATCTTGATGGGGCTTGTGAAGCAAGTGGCTCAGCGTCGTCCCGATTTGAAGATCATTGTCATGTCGGCTACGTTAGATGCTGAGAAATTCCAGCTGTATTTTGGTCTTAACGATAAGCCGACTCCGTTGCTTGCCGTACCGGGGAGAACTCACCCGGTAGAAATCTACTATACTCCTGAGTTCCAGAGAGACTACCTTGACCTGGCCATTCGTACTGTGCTCCAAATCCACGCCACTGAAGATGAAGGGGATATCCTTGTGTTCCTCACTGGTGAAGACGAAATCGAAGATGCCTGTCGTAAGATCGACCTTGAAGCTAACCAATTAGTGAGAGAACAAGGGTGTGGTCCTTTGAAGGTATACCCGTTGTACGGGTCATTGCCTCCCTACATGCAGCAGAAGATCTTTGAGCCTGCTCCCGAGCCGTATAAGCCTGGTGGTCGTCCCGGCCGTAAGGTGATTGTGTCCACTAATATTGCCGAAACCTCGTTGACCATCGATGGGGTGGTGTACGTGGTGGACCCTGGTTTCCTGAAACAGAAAGTATACAACCCGCGGATCCGGGTCGAGTCGTTGCTTGTCTCACCCATCTCCAAGGCCAGTGCCCAACAAAGAGCTGGTAGAGCTGGTAGAACTCGTCCCGGTAAGTGTTTCCGGTTATACACTGAAGAAGCGTTCAATAAGGAGTTGATCGACCAGCTGTACCCGGAAATCTTGCGGCTGAACTTGTCGCTGACGGTGCTTGAACTTAAAAAACTTGGTATCGATGATTTGGTCCACTTCGACTTTATGGATCCTCCCGCCCCCGAAACGATGATGCGGGCGCTTGAAGAATTAAACTACTTACAATGTCTTTCCGATGAAGGTGACCTCACTGCTCTTGGTCGGTTAGCCCTGAATTTCCCCTTGGACCCGATGTTGGCGGTGATGTTGATTGGCTCGCCGGCGTTTGGTTGTTCCGAAGAAGTGTTGACGGTGGTGGCGGCTCTCTCAGTGCCCCAGTTCTTCGTACGGCCAGTGCTGGCCCGTAAGGCTGCCGACGAAGCCAAGATGCGGTTTGCCCACCCTGACGGTGACCACTTGACGTTTATCAACGTCTACTACGAGTTTGACCAGGGTGAAGCTCAGCAAGTGGGCCAACACCAATGGTGTCGCGATAACTTCTTAAACTACCGGTCGTTACAACTGGCACGCAATGTACGCCAGCAATTGCGCCGTCTTATGGAACGGTACGACTTGGAGCTTAACCTGATTCCCTTTGATGACCCTAACTACTCGCTGAGCATTCGCCAGGCGCTTGTAGCAGGGATGTTTATGCAAGTGGCCAAGAAGAAGCTGGGGCTGACTAAGCTGTACTTGACGGTCAAGGACAACCAAGAAGTGCTTATCCACCCGCTGACTGTGTTGGACACTTCAAACAAACACACTGGCGAGTGGGTGCTTTACAATGAATTTGTGTTGACGCTGAAAAACTATATTCGTACGGTGACGCTGGTGGACCCCAAGTGGTTGGTCAAATTGGCGCCGAAATACTTTGATTTGTCCCACTTTAGCAAGGGCGACGTCAAGTTGTCGTTGGCGCGGGTGTGGGACCGTTACCAAGACAATTAACCTTTTGCATCATCATCATTATCGGCACTACCGGGCGCCGGCAATGCCGTATTGTTTTCCGACATACATAAGGTAGTGTGAAGGTAAAAAAAATGAAAGAAATTAATAGAGTGCATATAGTGTAGTCGCCAAATCACAGGGCTCGCTAACCGTCACCTCACTCGACAATTACACCACACATTTTTTTACATTGAGAGTAGAGGGGCAGCTATTAGCGCTTATGCTGCGTTCAATGGGCCCATTTATCACCCGATGCACCAACATGCTCGTTAATCTCGGCTAAACTGATGCGACCCCATCAACCTGATGATTCAACTACTACCGTTGTCGAGATTTAATCTGCCATATTGTGCGAATTAGCCTTTTGGGTTTTTCGTTCCCACGAACTAATTTGTGGTCTCGCTCCCCTTACGGATTCGGTGCTATGCAAGATGCCTAAACTCGTAGAGGCCAGTATATTAAGTTTTACGCCATGTGAATGTGGCTAAAGTAGTATTTTAGGTTGTTGTGGGTGATATCTCATCGCTGACTCGGGTATCGTCCACCCATAACTGATCTCGCACCTTTGTGGCGATGAATGGTTAAACCCAGGCAACGCCCTGCGTGGCCCCACCCCCTAGCCGACATATTCCGTCCTCAAAATAGAGGAGTGCACCACTATAACCTCAAAATTTACGAAGTTAAAAGTAACGTTGATTTTGGCCAATCCCCCTGGCTACTTGAGGGGCTGTCGCTGGTTTCGGCCGTCGGCACCCGTCTTCGTCAAGGCGATGGTGCGTGTGCACGCCGTACGCGCGCGTGTTATTTACATGGGACACGACACGAGAATTCACGAGAAAAAAGGGCTGCCACACCAACGACGACACCAGGATGGGCAGTGTGCTTACCAAGCTATTTAAGAACCGGGAGATGCGGATTCTCATGTTGGGGTTGGACAACGCCGGCAAGACGACCATCCTCTACAAGATGAAGTTGGGGAAGACGCTGAAGACGGTGCCCACCGTCGGGTTTAACGTGGAGACGGTGAAGCATAAGAACATTCTGTTTGCCGTGTGGGACTGCGGTGGGCAAGAAAGAATCCGCCCGTTGTGGCGACACTATTTCACCGGCACCAACGCCCTCATCTACGTGGTGGACTCGCTGGACATCGACCGCCTCGACGAGCTGAAAAAGGAGTTGATGCGGGTGATCAACGACAAGGAGTTGGCCAACTGCCTTTTGATCGTCCTTGCCAACAAGCAGGACGTGCTGGGGGCGATTAAGCCCAAGGAGGTCATTGAAAGGTTCGAATTGAACAAGTTGACCGGCCAACACATGTGGTCGGTACAGCCGACGGTGGCTATCGACGGCACCGGGTTGACCGAGGCGTTCAACTGGATTCTGACCCACTCCAAGTGAGCTCTGTGCTACCTCTTTTTACTTCAGTTCTCTCTCTGTTTCTCCCCCCATTTTACGTATTTTAATACTTACTCCGTGTAAAAGCCAGTGTAGGGTCCCTACACCCAAAAATTCCCTAGTGGGTGCGAAACTTGGGGTTACCCCCAGGCTTCTGTCCCCAACGAGAAAAAAGCAAAAAAGCAAAAGAAATTCTTGGAAGTGAGTGATATAACCATAATAGTTTCATTGTAAAGGTAGGAAACCAAAAATGGACAATGCCTAAGCCTCTCACTTAGCCACAGCCCTGGTGTCATTCGTCTGAGTTGCCTACCGTTCCGAGCCGCACTCCTCCGTGCAGGTGCCACTGAAAAACACCGCAAGTGTGACCCGGTCAGTACCACTCTCACCGCTCTGAGAAAGCACGCCAATTGTCCGCTGTGAGCTAGCCGCCAATGTCGTTCAAGGGGTTCAAGAAGTCGATTGTGCGGGCGCCGCAGCAGTTGCGCCAGAAGATGAACATGGGTGAGTTCACCCACGACCCCGTGTACCAGGACGCCGAGTCCCGGTTTAAAGAGATCGAGATCGAGACCAAGAAATTGAGTGAGGAGTCCACCCGTTACTTTAAAGCGATCAATCTGATGTTAGATGAGCAAATCGAGTATGCCCGGGCCATGCAAGAGATTTACAAGCCGATTGCTGGGGGTATGGCTGACCCTGACGCCCTGGAAGACTCCCCGGAAGGGGTGCAGCTGGCGGAATACTACTGCGCCGCCATGACCCAGCTCAAGGACGAGCTCAAACCCGATTTGGAACTCATCGAGAAGCGGGTGGTGGCGCCGGCGCAGGAGTTGCTCAAAGTGATCAACAACATCCGTAAGATGGCGACTAAGCGTGAGCACAAGAAGGTCGACTTGGATCGTCACAAGCGTACTCTTGCCAAGTACCAAAGCAAGAAGGAACCGACGTCTAAGGACGAAGAAAAGATGTACAACTCGCAGGCGGAAGTGGAAACGGCGCAGGCCGAATATGACTACTACAACGAGTTGATGAAGACGGAACTCCCGCAATTGTTCGAGATGCAGAACCAGTTCATCCACCCGTTGTTCGTCTCGTTCTACTACATGCAATTGAACATCTACTACACGTTGTACAACAAGATGGAGGAGCTCAAGATGCCCAACTTCGACTTGTCGCTGGACATTGTTGAGGGCTTCAACGCCAAGAAGGGCGACGCTGAAGAACGTGCCGACTCGTTAGGCATTGCTCACTTCAAGGTGGGCCACGCTAAGCGCAAGTTGGAGACGGTGAGACGTAACCAGGAACTCAAAATGGGCCAGACCCCGTCGCCGATCGGCTCCAACCCGGCGTCGCCGGTGGTGGGTGCCCCTGGCGTTGCTAGCCCTGCCAGTCCCACCGCTGCCGGTGGTCAATTGCCCGCTTACTCCCCGGGGACTTATGGTACTCAATACGGCACCGACCAAAAGGCGACCTACAACCCCGCCGCTCCTGCCGCCGCCGCTCCTGCCGCTGCCGCCGCCGCTCCTGCTGCCTATGGCCAGACACCGACTTACGGCCAACCCGCTCAAGCTCCCGCTTACGGCCAGCCAGCGCAAGCACCGGCTTATGGTCAACCGGCACCCGCGGTGGCGGCGGCACCCGCTGCTGCTGCTGCTGCTGCTGCTGCTGCCCCCACTGCTTACGGGGCCCCTCCCCCTGCTGCTGCTCCTGCTCCCGCGGCAGCGCCCGCGGCCACTTGCACCGCTCTTTACGACTACACCGCTCAGGCCGCGGGCGATTTGCTGTTCCCTGCGGGCGCGGTGATCGAAATTGTCGAGCGCACCGCGGACGCCAACGGGTGGTGGACAGGGCGTTACAACGGCCAACAGGGTGTTTTCCCCGGTAACTACGTCCAGGTGAATTAGAGACGGTAGAGGTGTTAAGCTTTTATAGTATTTTAAGTAGTGATCACGTGCACATGACAAATTGCTTTGTGTATTTAAAATCGTAGAGCCATGGCTAGATATATTTTGAGGCTCTCTCTTTCAAGCGCTAGCACTTAGTAGCCCACCGAGATCAAGTAGTCGGCCAACTTTTCCACGATAAGGGTGGCTTCGTTGGCAACGACACCGGTGGGGTAGTGGGCGACGAGAATCGCCTGCTTCGTCTTCACCGCGATCACCCCGGTGGTGTCCTTGTCCTTGCCCTTGCCCCGGCCGTAGATGGAACGGTCGTCGGATCTCAACAACAAGTAAGGTTCGCCACCGACATTCAACCCGTGGGCTTGCAACGCGGCGGGGTCGGCGTAGGCCTGGGCAATGGCGGTGATTTCCTCGGGCTTGATCTCAAACGCGCCGGTTTGGGCCCACAAGGAGTCCCCGGCGGCCGAGTACAACGCAGCCTTGTCGAGCTTGCCGGTGGCGACTAATTGGTCGGTGTATGCTTGCCAGGACATGATGGATTGGGGGGTATTTAGGGTGTGGTGATTGGAAACTGAGGTGGCCCTAATTTTTAGACGAGGGCGAGCGGTCGATGCAGGACGATTGGTAGCGCCGAATCAACCCACCGCGATTTGATCTCAAATTGCCCCTCATAAAGCTGAAACTGCCAAAATTAAATCTATTAAAATTACAAACTACTAAGTGCGTTGCTTTTTGCGGGGAGGCTCCTCTTCAACATCCTCCACTTCCACCATCACAAGATCGCCTTCATCGTCATCAATGACCACCGTGTCACCATTAGACTCTGCTGCCGGTGACGCGTCCAGAGCCGCTGGCGGCGTCTGCTTCGCTCGTAATTTCAATTCAGGGAACTTGGTGGAGGCAGCGCCGCCGGTAATATACAACTCCAAGTTTTCCAACTCGTCGTCGTCATCCTGAACGAGAACGATTTGTCCGGGAGCGAAACTAGGAACGGTGTCGAGAGCATCGTCGACTTTATCGTCAAAGTCAACATCGTAGACAAGTTTCAGCCCAATGGAAATCAGAATGCCATCACGAGAATATCCGTAGTGCTTGACTAACTCGTCGGCAAACCATCCGAGCGATTGTTTATGGTAGTCATCATCACTGATATCGAGCACTCCTCGCGAAAGTAACGCCGTCAGCGGACAGTTTGGACGAGACGGGGCCGGTTTACCCGCCAGTAAAAACTTATTCGGGGCTATAGCAATGTAGGCCACCTTCAGCAGGTCAGCAACTTGCGTGTAGTCAGTCTTCCCAGCTTTGATGGCGGCGCCGTCGGGGGTGGTGCTGAGATACTCAAAGTATTGAGTGCCTCCCAAACACAGAAGCCCCGAAATGATTGCATTAGTGGTGGCAATGGCAGGGATGATATTGCCAGCAATTTCTTTAATGTCAAATTTGGTTTTCAACGGGATGCCAAACACAAAACTCCGTAGGTTGGCGGCAGCAGCAACAAAGTTAAGAGTGTCTTCATCGTCCTTATCGAAAGCAATGATAGTTTCGCCTTCTTGAATGCGGTTTTGAATGCTAGCAGTCGCTTGGCTTAACACATACAAGTTTTGTCCCACCAGCCACATCAGCGTGTCGTCAGTAATGACATCTTGAGTACTGTTGGCAATCTCTTCGGTGTAGTCAGCAAACACTAACGGGGTGGGGCGCTTGCGTTCTTTCCACAAGGCGTCAATACGCAACAATTGCTCGATGTCAGTGGTGTAGAGAGTGTTGACCATCTTCTCGAAAAAGTCAGCAGACAACCGGTGTTCTTTCAAGACTTGAAGCTCATTGTTACCTTGCTTAAGCGCACTAAGTTCTTGTTGGTTGTCGGTGGCCTCCAGAAGATCTTCTTCGTGGTCCTCGCCGAACAACAGAGGCCACAAAAACTCCTTGGCCCAGGTGATGCAATGTACCGGTTGCGACGGCGTCAGTCGAATGGTACACACGGGATAAGTGGTGGGGGTTTCCTTCACGTCACAGTCAAAGCACTCGGTGGCGTAAGGGAAGATCGGTTGAACGTGACCATCGTAGCCTTCAGTACCCAGCTCCATGAGCGGAGTCTTGAGGAAGAGACACATTTTGTTGACGTAGCGCCGGGCCTCAATGTTGTCCAAGGCATTGAACACGTAGTCGAACTGTTGCCACCACAGCATGGGGAACTGGGTGGTGTCCATGATGTTGCCATGGTGCGGCTTGAGCTTACTGTTGTGGTAGTTGAACAGCTGGACCGACTGACTGATGGTGGTGGCTTTGGACTTGTCGATATCCTTTTGGCGGAACAAGAACTGGCGGTTCAAGTTGGAAAGGGTGATGGTGTCGAGATCAACGATGTGGACTTCGCCGTATCCCAAAAGCACGAGATCCTTGATGAGTTCACAGCCGATACCGCCAGCCCCAACCATGAGGACCTTGCTGTTTCGAAGCGTCGCCACGCAATCCTCGCCTAGGATCCGCTTGACATAGCTATCACGAGCCATGGAGGGTGTAAGTAGCTGTAAGTTGCAGCGCGTAGCCGGTGAAAGTTTCACTGAAATGAAAGCAAGGTGCGATTCCCCACAATTCGATGTTGTATCTATCTAACATCAAAAATAATGAAAACATCTCTGTTTCAATGATTATCAATCTTAACTTTCAGTCTGAGATTGCCCCACATTTATTACGTTGCTGCACTTCGTACTCCCTCACAATGAGACTGACAGCCTACAAAACACTACACAAAAAGTTCTCTACTTTGAATCATCTCCGTAGCTGTGAATGATCATAGTATAGAAATTTCATGCTTCAAACTCTAGTTTAATTCAATGAAGTTATTATTGGTACTTGAAGATTCATGCCGCACGCATCATATATTAGTCATACGCCGGTAAACTGATCTGATCGTTCGACGAACCAAAGTTTACTTTCAAGACTGATAATATGTTTACTGGGATTGTTGAAACTTTGGGTACGATCTTATCGTACGAAACCTTAGACTCGTCCGAGTCTGGTGGCAATGGAGTGTCGATGGTGATTGGGGACGCCGCCGCCGTCCTTAGCGACGTGCAATTGGGAGACTCGATTTGCACCAACGGGGTGTGCTTGACGGTTACTGAGTTTGATGATGCCCGTACCCAATTCAAAGTTGGTGTCTCCCCGGAAACGTTACGTCGGTCCAACCTTGGTGACCTCAAAAAGGGCGATAAGGTTGATCTTGAGCGAGCCGTAAGCTCCAATACCCGTATGGGGGGTCACGTCGTTCAGGGTCACGTTGACACTATTGCCACCATCACTAAAAAACAGCCTGAGAATAATGCTATCAACTTTACCTTCCAATTGCGCGATCGCCAATACATCAATTACATTGTGGAAAAGGGGTTCATCTGTGTCGATGGGGCTTCGTTGACGGTGACTGCAGTTGACTACACCACGGCTGAGTTCTCTATACAAATGGTTGCCTACACTCAGGAGAAGGTGGTTATTTCCGGCAAAAACGAGGGTAACACCGTGAACATCGAAGTTGACGTCGCTGGCAAACTTATCGAAAAGCAGGTCGAGTTGGTTCTTACGGGGATGGTCTCCAATGAAGACTCTGCCGTGGCCAAGGCGTTGAATTCTTTGATCGAGAAGAAAATCAAGGAGCTCAAGTGAGTAAGTCGATGAATTGATGAACACGAAGAAAATTAGATCGAACAATTGTTAATAAAAGAACACACTAGTAATCAGTTGTAAATAACAGGATTGACGCGTCCTTGAGACCTCTATTATTGCGTCCCCAGCCGTGAGTGGTTTGATCCCTGGTATGGTGGCAGCGGTGCGAAAAAGCCGTTTCGCTAAGCCAGTCGCCACCAACACCATGGATATCATTTTAGGCATCAGAGTGGCCGACTCCACCATCATTGCCACTTCCAAGGCGGCCACCCGGGGTATCTCGGTGCTCAAGGCCAACGACGATAAGACCCGGGTGCTCAATACCCACAACCTCATTGCGTTTACCGGGGAGGCGGGCGACACCGTCCACTTTGCCGAGTACGTCCAGGCCAACATCCAATTGCACACCATGAGAGAGGGCCACGAGTTGAGTCCCACTGCATGCACCAACTTCATTCGCCTGGAGCTTGCCACCTCAATCAGACTGAGAAAGCCGTACCAGGTTAACTGTTTGGTGGCGGGGTTCGACACCAAGACTTCGAAGCCGAGCTTGACGTGGATTGACTACTTGGGTACTAAGACCGAGCTTCCCTACGGTGCCCACGGCTACGCTGCCTTCTACTGCACCTCGCTTTTGGACAAGCACTACAAGGAAGGGTTGACGGTGGAGGAAGGTCTCAAGTTGATGGACATGTGCTTGAAGGAGCTTGAATTGAGAATGCCCATCGACTTTAAGGGGGTTTACCTCAAGGTGGTCGACAAGGACGGGGTGAAGGCTATTGGTGGCGAGGACCCGCTGGACTTGCCTCCCGCCGAAGCGTCGCTGGCTCCCGCCGTTCAAGCGTCGGCTTAAACGATTAATGATCCATGATATAGTTATAAACGTCTCCTCGAATTTTAAAATGAATCATAGCGAAACTCTAATTGTGATCTGAGATAATGTAGGTATCGTAAATATAAGTCGTTTGTAATGAGTCGAATTTGCTCTGTTCTTTGCCAGCAAAGAACAAGAAGAGGGTATCTATTATATGACGGTTGGCTTGAATCAGACAATCTTGTAATTAATTCAGTATCTTTCGTTGCCACTTGTCCTCGCGGAGTCGAAAATGTCCTAGATTGTATCGATGAATCACAGCCTTAACAAGGCCATTGAAAAGGGGACCGCTGATTGTAACATCTGAATCATGGAATAACTTCATAGTATCTGTCACCAGTAATGACCCCTTTCGAAGCTGGCTCAACATGACTGTATATATTAGTCGAAGCCGGTCAGGGTTAACCCAAGTGCGATTTCTGGAGGCTTCTTCCTCACGGATCAAAACCCCACTGTCGATTAGATTCCGACACAATTGCCTGAACATCGACTTGTATGTCAATTCTCGAAGCTGATTCAAGTGTTGGTCACGACGAAGATGATTAGTGTACTGCTTAACCACCGATACGACCGAGGGGTGGCTAAACAACGTTCCCAAAGTCATACGTTCAAATTTGTTAGACGCTATAACCTCGCAAATCGCTGTTAAAGCCTTGGGTAACGTCGTTATTGATGTCGCTACCACATCACCATTTTTGTCAGCAGTTTGTGAGGATATCTGCAGGCTTCCCTTGGAGAGCGACGGCTGACTTGCGCTTAAACGATCATCTTGGCTGTGTCTTTGTTGTTTGACTCTTGTGAGGATCACACTGTCATCACTGCGTGGTAGCTGGTTGGTAATCTCGTCGTAGTCATGTCCGCCATCGAAAGCACAACCAGGAGATCGGCCCGGTGGCGAGAAATCCCAGGGTGACGCCAATTTCCGTTGCCTGAACTTCAAAGCACGCTGCCACCATTGATATAGTTGAGGAAACGCTTCACTCCCGACCACCAGTGGAGATATTATGAAGACATCCACCCGCCACCTGCGGTCAATATCAATAATCCAGCTGACCACCCGGCCCTTAAGCTGCAAAAATCGGCCGTAGTTTAGATCGCAATCAGCATCTAAATCCAGCTTTTCGTATACACTCTTTGGCACCCGGCATTCGATGTATGACCCACTACTATCATCGAGCCACAATTTGAACTCTTTCCCCGATTTTAGTTCCGTAATGCCAACGACAATTCCCAGGACCTCGACGTAGTTCAATGGCCAATTCGATATTAAGATATAGTGTTCATTATTCCAATGGAGCATATCCTTGACGAGCAGACCATAGACGTTTTTGACCCACTTAGTATCATTCAAATCCACGCCAAGCACTGGGCAAAACCGTTTGTAGTAGGGGCTGTTATGGAAGCAGCGATAACCGTAGTAAACCACATCTCCTATTCGTCGGAAGATGTGGTTTTCGCCGGGAGCCATATCAAGCATGGCGGTACGCGTCGCACTAATGACCGCGTTGGAAAATATAACAACGCCGATCACGATCAGCCATGAATATTCTGGCAAATGTTAGATGAAGTTTTTACGCTGAGATCTGATGAGATGTACCGATATTGTTGATATTAGCAATAACAGGTATGTCTATAGTCTATGTACTATTTACACTCTACAGTTGTTGATGTCGAACACCAAGATGTCCGACGCCCCCGCAAGTTTCAACTCATCCATGATGTTGCCGATCTGCTTGGATTCCACCATCGCCAGGACCGCCACCCATTCTTGGTTGCCAGCGCCGTTCAGCTCCAACACCGTCACCGTAGCTGCCTTGCGACCGGGAGTCAACTTGAGCACTTCCGGAAGGATGGCACGAGGGGCGTTGTAGTTGCACAACACAAACTTTTGTGCCGCCAACACACCTTCAATCCGTTGTTGGATCTTTTGCACCAATTCAGGGTGCTTGGGAGTCTTCGACGAGATTAAGTGGGCCGAGGTAGCCAAAATGGTTTCGATGGGCTTGAGGCCGGCAGCACGCATGGTTTCACCGGATTCAACAAGATCGACAATGGCGTCACCAACCCCAAGAGCCACCGAGGCTTCGACAGAGCCACCAACATACCGGATCTTGGTAGCGAGGTCGGTCGTGCCTTCGAGCTGTTCAAAGTAGTCCCGAGTGAGCTTAGTGAACGAAGAGACGATCTTCTTGCCCACCAACTGCTTGGGGTCGGTGAACTCGCCCTTTTCAGGCACTTGGATCTGCAACTTGCACGCGCCGAACTTCAAGTCCAAAAGGTCGTTGACGTTGTCGAACATGTCGGCTTCCTTGATCTGGTCGAGCCCGGTGATCCCCAAGTCACATTGACCTTCGCCGACGAACACGGGGATGTCGGCGGCGGGCAAAAAGATGAGGGCGATCGGCAAGTTGGTGCAAAGAGCGATGTCCAAACGGTTAGACCGTCTGAATTGGATGTCGGCACCGCTCAACAACTGACAGCACTTCTCATACAATCTCCCCTTTTTGGGAACGGCAAATAGAAGCCGGTCGGGAAGGTGGGATACCAAGTCCATCGGGGTGGTGGTGGTGTGGATGAGTCAGTGGTTCCCACGTTTTTCGCGAGGTTATACCGTTGGTATGACTCACGTGACGCACTGTCACTGTAAGTGGCTAACGGCGGGGCGATAACGTCAAACGCCCATCTCGCCGCGCCAAGTGCCCAGCGAGTCCAAGCCCACGATATCGTGGTCTCGATCACTGTCGCCAAGGCTGGTGAACCCAATTTGGATATTCAAGAATGAGAAACGTGGGTGGAGCTCGCAAAAGTTATACCAATGTGAGTTGAGGCATAGGGCGAAGGCGACGGCGCATGCTTATTATCTATTAATCTCTCTATACTATTCCAATGCCGGTTGCGAATCCTTCAAGGACGCGATCTCATCACGAGTGTGCGGGGCCACCTCGCCGTTGCCATGCCCGTACCAGTACTTGTTGAAACTCCACTGTAGCAAGATTTTCACCAAATCCCAAGGGCCGAACTCAGGCCATAACTTGTCGACAAATACCACCGCACAGTCGGGCAGCACGCATTGCCATAATAAGAAGTCCAGTAGACGGTATGTGCCCAGAGTGCGTATCAAAAGCTCGAGGGGCGGGCACTCGGATGTGTATAGATTGTTTGTGATGGTATGCTCATCGATGGGCTCGTGTGTCTCTAAGCTTTGCTCCACTGTTCGTTTGATCAGGGTTGCCATCTCGTCGCGGGAAGTGTATGGGAAGCAAACGTTGAGGATGGCCCGTGTATTGTCTTTTGTGATCTCCTCGGCACGGACCAATACCTCTCGGACGTCGTCTCGAAGCAACAGCGTGTTGCCGATGATGCGGACTTTAACCCCATACTTCTTGCAGAGCTGACCGTTCTCGACGATTTGCAGCAACTTGCTTTTGGCGAGCTCCATGAGCCACGCCACCTCGTACAGCGATCGTTTGAAGTTTTCGATACTGAAGGCGTAGACGGTGGCGCATTGAACCCCACACTCGTACATCAACTCAAGTATCTGGGCCATCAGTTCAAACCCGAGGTTGTGGCCCTCTTTTAGCTCCATCTTGTGGTTTTTGGCATACCTGCGGTTACCATCCATGATGATACCTACGTGCTTGGGCACCGGTCCCAGACGTATAAGCCCTCCCACGGCTTTTTTCACCGCAAGCATCGAAAGCAGTTGGTAAGACTCAATTGCCACGCGAACATTTGATACATGCGAATTTAATAGTCACCTGCGGACGTCCATGTGATAGATCCCCGAGGGGCACAGGGCAAGCCGAACAAGACCGCTTTCTACAATAGGTAAAGGGAAGCAACGTTAGTGCCGTTGGCAACTGGTGGAGCGATAACAATGGTCGCCAAGCCTGCACATGGCACAAGGTTTTGTCTGAAGTGACGCTAGCATCTCGTCATCGTTCTCAAGTTATTACCGTAAACGGGATTTCGTGGTTCAAGGGATCTGACACTTATTCTTCCATCGGCATTACACCTCGTACAACGGCCAATCCCCAGCTGATAAAAACCATTTGCCGAGATACTCCGGTACATTGACCCCCGATTGATAACAACACGGAAGCGACCTTCGGTCCGTCCGACCCGAGGCCGGAAACTTATAAGACAATTCATGATTAGCCTATCCTATTCTACCATCTTGAGCCCATTATGCCATCTTTACGTATGCTCTAACCTCATGTTTTCTTTTATTCGACCTTCCTTCGATTTCCGATGAAGTTGCTATAGTAGACACGATATACTAAGATCTTAAGTTGACGAGGCAACCCCAGTGACATTGAATCCCACCAGTAGTATTAATCGACTTTCACTTACTTATTGATGGTCGGCGTAGTAGAAAGATCTGAAGAGTATACCAAAAATGCTTTGTTCTCAGTCATAAATATCGATGGAAAGTGAGGTGTTACTCATTCAAGCTACTTGACGTGTGTCGTACAACTTCTACATCAGTTATATCTGTTGTTTAGAGGTGATAAGGACAACTAACTGGAGATGTCAAGCGAGCTCCAATTCAACTCAAGTTTACTTCAAGTCTGACTAAGCCAGATTGTGGCGAGCCCCCTTGAGGCCTTGTTGAAAGACATCAATACCAAAGTAGATCCCAATCGTCCAAAAGCTGTCCACCACCATGAAACGCGTATTTTCACGTCCCGATATTGTAATTCAAAACACCACGGGTCTGTGTTTGTATCATATGCTCGGTAACCGCCATGTTTTCCTATCTCGGTCTTTAATCCTCCAAATTGAATTTTTCAGGCGTAGCCGCGTAAACACCATGTGGCTTCAAACAATAGCGTACCTGAGTCCAAATTAGTACCAAGATCTCTCAATACGTCAAGTTTTCGAGGTTAGTCGAGAAGGTAGTTGTATCAACATGAGTGGACGTGGTGGCCAAAATGTTTTGCAACTTTGCCCCTACGTTAAAGTGCTAGATCATTATAGTTCAATGGGGTTCACGATAGCGAACCCCAACTTAATAGTCCCGTATCCGATAATTCAAAATCTAGTTACAAGCGTAACGGCGGCAAAGGTTTATCGGCGCACTGTGGTAAACTGTGGAAGATCTAGGACTCCTAAATTATTTTTGAACCTTTTTCATATTTGAAGGCAATCAATCCGTTTATGAAGCACAGTATAGTGAACATGGCCATATCTTTTTACGCGTATGTTCGGTTTCAGTACTCCTGGGTATTGGAAATAGCACACGCAGCTAAAATTAATTAATGCACGATTAGACAATGAACATGAACATTATAAATTGGCCTACTCTACAATGAATGCCTTGTGTATATGTGATGACAGCTTCAATTTGATGCTTAAGCACTCGCTTTGGACGTATTTTGTCTAAACCTCATTTGAAAAACCGCCCGCCACGAATTTAGTTTCGAAACTCTGCAGCAGGGGTAGATTGATATGAACCTTATTTTGTCGTGGCAAAATGTATAAATAAGCATTCATCCGTAAATTTAATTTGCAAAGCTTACACTCGCTCAAATGAAGTTCTCCACCACCGCCGCTGCTGCTTTGTTGGCTGCCACTGCCACCGCTCAATTACAAGCCGAACAAAAGAGAGCCACTTCAGATGTCGTGGCCAACTTGGAACAATTGTACACTATTGCTACTAGAGGTGTCCCCTTGGAAAAGCGTGATGAAATCAACCAAGCCTTAAACCAACACCTCAAGCGTGAACTCGAAGGGACCGTGTTCGCCGACATGGTCAAGCGTGATGACATTGACTGGTCGTCGATCATCAACACCGTCCTTCAGTACGTGCCGACGATTTTGAAGGCTGTGTGGGACTCGGGTATCATCCAGAGCATTGTCTCCTCGTTGTTGAACAGCCAAGCCTTCAAAGATGGCCTCTACAACGCCCTCAAATGGGTGGTTGACCTTATCCTTGGATGGTTTACTCCCAGCACTACCTCTACCTCGACCGTTGGTGCCACTGCCACTGGCAGCCCTCAACAAAAGCGGGACAACTCCGCCGAGGCCATGATGCACGTCAAGAGACTTATGAACATGCTCGAAGATGACTCTGACTTGACTGTGCGTGACCTCACTGACACCATCGGCACTATCGTGGCCTCTTTATGGAACAACATTGCTCAATGGGTCAAGGACCACCCCGAACAATTCGCTCAAGCCTTACAAAAGATCACTGAATTCGCTTACCAAATCGTCGGTAAGGTGTACGTGTGGGCCAGAGACAACGGTTACATTGACAAGGCTTTCAAATGGTTGGGTGAAAACCTTGGTGACATTATCCAGCAAATTATTCTCTGGATCACGAGCGCCATTGGCGGTCAAAGCCCGGACCCTAAGCCTTCTCCTAGCAGCCCCCCTGCTCCCAGTGACCCCGTTACCATCACTAGCACCCTCATCGGCTCGACTCCCACCACCGTCACTGAAGTTCCCATCACCACCACGAAGCAACCTAACGGTCTCAGCAACAACAACAACACCAAGAGAATGTTGTATTAACTTGCTGGATGTCTCTAGTGTAGTCACTGAGAATACTCGTTTTTACTCAATAAATGTTACCCATATGTCCATTAATCCATTCCCTCTATAGAACAATTTATTGACTCTGCGTGGCTTGTTCGCGGGGATTGAAAACCAAGCACACCCCTTCGTCGCCGGCGGTGATGAGCTTACCGTCATCCATAATGGCAAAGTCAAACACAGGCATGTTGTGCCCAACACCGACAAACATTTCCGTGCCCAGACGAGCGTCCCAGCGGTAAACTTTGCCGTTAGTCAGCGAGCCAACCAAAACGTGGCTCTTGGGTTCAAACTGCAATTGAGTGATAGCATTTTCGTAATCTTCATGCGCCTCAGTCGACCACAGTTTACGCAAACGCCACTGTTGAGTTTCAAACAAAAACACGTCACCGTGGACAACGCCTACTGCCAACAACGGCATCAGTTCACACCACGCAAGGGCTTCGATCGATAACAGATCGTGATCATCATTATTGATCACCTGCAAGGTGTTGACGACCTTATGCGTTTGATGATTGATAATGGCGAGTTGACCGTCACGACCACCAACAGCCACCATGTGCCCTTGAGCTGACAAAACCACCCACGGCGATTCGATCCCCTTGAAATCTATAGGCGCCAATTTGTAGATGGGTTGGCCAGTGATGGCGTTCCAGCAGACAACCGTGGCGTCATCCGACGCAGTAACCAATTGAATGGTCTCCTCGTCCTCAAGGAAGACGCCTGCGTTACAGTCCAATGTGTGAGAAAAGCCAGTCATGAGTTGGGTCAAGTCATTACCTTCGATTTGGTAAACCCAGACAGACCCATCGTTGGCCCCAAATGCAAAGTAGTTTTGAGAAGGATGGGTGGCAATCCAATGGATCTCTTCGACTTCCTCAACATCACCAACCTTCGTCCATTTCTCCCCATTCTTGGTCCGATGAACCTGCAAAAGCCCCGCCATATCGGCAGTAATAACGTAGTTACCGTCAGCGGTAAATTTGGCGGTGATGACCGACTCTTTGTGATCGATGGTGGTCACGACCACGGGAGGCTGTTTATGAGTGGTCCACAACTTTGCGGTGTGGTCAGCCGACCCCGAGACCACCAATGGCAACTTGGGATGACGCTCCACCACAAATACCGAGTCTCCATGTTCGAGATATGTCCAAGAGTTATTCAGCAAGTCAAGCACGATCTGCTCTTCCTCTACTTGCTCCGACACATCCACATCCTCGTCCATCTCGTCATCACTTGGAGCACGGTCGTCAACAAGCTCGACAACCTGGCCGACCTCGTTTTCCTCCAATTCTTTGATATCGCTCATCTAAAGTGTACCCAGTGTGGATGTTCGATGGCAAATTGATAATGAGATGAGGTTTATATGCAGGAACTGAAACTGAGCAAGCACATGAATATGTTAGATCTTTTAAAAAAGGCAAGCGAAAAGGAAGAAAGAAGATTCAACAAATGATTGATCTGCCAGAACTAGATAAGAAAGTGTTCGGTCGAATATTGAAAAAAAAAAAGATGGGGTCAACCGGGAATTGAACCCGGGATCTCCTCCAATTCCAACGCCTGAGACGCTCGAGATTTAACCCGAAGGAGGCATCGTACCACTAGACCATTGACCCACTTGCAACCCCTTTGAAAAGAGCTATGGTGATGTCCAGGTAACGATATACAATTTTTCCTTTTTCTACCGCCGATGTAAACATACCAATCAAATTTAACAAAATTTAACAAACTCTAGATGATATAAAATGTGCAAACATCCAAGTGAGATTATCTCAAGTGCCTCAAAACTGCATATTCTCTGTTCCACTTGCATGATCGAAAAAATCGAAGTTTATTTTCATGAAACACATAATTGTCTTAAGCTCAGAACGTTGGCAGCAGTTTCGCATCAAGACCCATAGGAACAGATATTTTTGATATTAGTACTTTGAATTTTGGCCGTAGTGCAGCCTGGTTCTAGCTCAACTCTGTTCATGGTTTGCATAATCAGCCAAAATCTTCGAAATTAAAATTCCACTTTGTGACTTCTTAATACTGCATTTCAAGTTATTGTGCGTCTTAACTTATGGTAGAACTTCCAATGGCTCTTTCTGGCAATGAACAAGTTGAACTTGTCCACATTTTTCTTATCATTACGGTAAAAAAAATCCAATACTTTAAGTGGCGAAGGTGGACATTGAAATTTGACCAAGAGTTATAGAATCGAGTGTCAAACAGATACATTTATTCGATTCTCCCGCTCATGACGATGACAACGGACTGTCGTCATTTCGAGGATACGATTAAACTATTCAATCATCATTTCACTGATAGTGATACACAATGAAGTAATCAAAGATCAGCTTAAGAAATAAGACTCGAGAGTATTGATCTCACTTTATAGGCTTCCTTTTATGGTCTCGCAATGGTGTGTGTCAGCAAGAATTTGGTTTGGTTTCAAAGGTATATTTACAATTGGTGATTGCAAGTGCATTGAAAAGAAATTGAATTGGTCTCAAGTGAGAGAATCCTTTTCTTGGTCGTATGAGATGTGTTTATGAACTCGAATGGCTTAAAATGTGTTGAAGATGAGCCCTGATCAATTTGACGTATTTTCTACCCCTGACGGATAACCGTCATCTTGGAAAAATCAACGCGCGCAAATGGTTTAGTGGTAAAATCCAACGTTGCCATCGTTGGGCCCCCGGTTCGATTCCGGGTTTGCGCATGTTTTTGGCCGGTTGTAGCTAATCAAGAAGCTTCTGGTCTTCGATTTATTATACAACGCAAGCCAGAGACTCCTCGTCAAACGTTTCACCTTCGACACTCGTGAGTGATCAAGTTGAGTGCATCTGCAAGAATGAAGAAGCAAAAATATTCAAACACATGTATCACAACTTCCGTTATAGCTGCAGTTTTTCAGCAAATTTCTAGATGGGCGAACCACTTTTGCGCGATAACTGAAAGCATTTGCTGACGATTGTGCAACCATGAAGGGCTGTTCATATTAGTAGGTTTCCAAAGGTATGAAGGCATCATCTAACAATTCGATTCAATGAAATTTATGAAAGGATGTAGCATAAGCTGGAGTTCTTGAAATTGATGAAATTTGAATGGAATAGAGTGCAGTTTGTTTGAAAAGAATCACCCTTCCCAAACATATCGAATGCATGTAAAGCACAAACCGGAGACTAGAATCAAATGAGAATCTCGCAACTCACACATTTCAACACTAAAATCAACAATCCACTCAAAGGCTCACTTGAATACGGTAAATTCAGCTACTATGTCCATTACATTCTCAATCGTGTAACGTAGTTCAAGTTTGATTGATAATGACTCTGCCGAGTTATTCTACTTGTGTGATTGAAACTCTCCGAATATAAGCTACATGTCTATATTCATGCCTTGATGTGGACTCACTTATTCTGTCATATGGAATAGCTGTAATAGTAAGATATTTTTCTCCTACCATGTAGAAAAGTTTACCTCCTTTTTCCTAAAACTTTACTTCCAGAATCGTCTTTTAACCAATTATTTTTTTTTATCTGTAGGTATGCATTAATATCTACCCGTAAAAAACGATTGTAGACGGCTCTAAGAGCCGCCTACCGCCGTGAAAAGAAAAAAAAAAAAACAGATAAGATATCTGCGAGTTGAGGAAGCACGAATAATTGCAAACCTCTGAGAGAATAATAGCTGAAGTAGGGTGCTCAAGCAAAAGGGGGAATGTATGTAACGTTGGTGTTGTTCAATCCACGTTCTCAAATTAGCCTCTACCCAAAAAGCAGGGGCCTCATGTGATAGTAGTGACTCCTTAAAAAGGAGGAACATAGCTCGCAAGAACCGGGCTAGTTCTTTGAGCGCAACCAGACTAAGACGTCGAGGTGGGAGCATATCAGACACGGTTGTGAATGTTGACTTCTGCATTCAGGTCTTACTCAGACACCTTTTAACGTTTCAATTTATTATAAAATCTTATGTGGTACTTTGAGTACTGATAGTTGGGCGAGAAGAGAGGATACGCCTTTGATGAAGATTGGGGTCTATTGTATTATGAACACTAATGCAACGGAAGTCAGNTACTTACACAATAAAAGTCAGAAATGCCTGGTTAGCTCAATCGGTAGAGCGTGAGACTCTTAATCTCAAGGCTGCGGGTTCGAGCCCCGCATTGGGCTTTCATTTTTGAACTACTGTTATAGATCGGCAAGCAGCTATCGTCTCATCGATGGCAACTGATTCATTTATTTTTGCTTAGGTTTCGTGATTCATTAGTATATGTCGTAAGCTATGCTGGTAGCTCTATTTTCGAAATGCTATTGAACGCTGGCTTGACGTTCGTAAAATTCGGCAACTTGCGTAGACAGGGTGGCGTCTTCGGGCCCTTTATCATCCCGTATGCGAATAAATCTAGGGAACCGGAGTGAAATGCCCTTGCCGTACTCAGTGTGC